GCCGTCCTATGCAAAACAACAACGTGAAATCGCCAAAATTTGCGTCGTCTGCGAACCGAAACCGCGACGGCAAATTATTTTAATTTCCATTTGGAACTCAAAGGCTACTTTATACGTCATGCTGAAGTTGAGCTGTGGCGCTGTATGAGACAGTAAGCTCCTGCAGCCATTTTTTAAATTCTAACTAACAGTAGAAATTCATTTTTTAATCGAAGTCTTCCTTGGCGTCGCCGTCGTGGTTTCTTAAAGTCCTTAGTGCCCGGTCCAATACTGAGAGAATATTGATTGGCAATAGAGCATTTTGATCGGTTGATTTTAGTTATTGGCCCTCTGACTGCCCGAGTCGTGTAATAATTGTCAATATTGGACTCTGTAATCGTGAAAGAACCTACTAAAAATGAACTTCATATTCCAGATGCAGGTTAGAGTCTGTTGTACCTGTCATGACGGTCAGGCTTCCTTCACATTGTTGTGTCCGATCCGTACGCAAAGAAATCACTCCTGGATTAAAACGGCAGACAGAAAGAAACTTCAATGTCACTCGAAATTAAAACTAGAAAAAAACTAGTATTCAAAACAGGATCTCATTCTTCGTAAGGTAATTTGTTACCTTTGCAACGAAACTCTTTCATCCTATCTGGGAATTACGTCACTTCGCTTACGTAAGAGACATGTTCAGAATTTATCGATCTTCCGCCTTACAATGACTTCCTTTGCCTCCCCTCCCTAAGAAAAGCATGCCATTGAATTGTCCTACCCGCGTACACGCATAAGCGGTAAAAACACTACATCTATTCATTGCGGGATTTCCTTCCAAAAAGTTAAATATGTGGAGAGTGAAAGGATTTAGAACAAATACCTGTCAAATCTTGTCGCGTAATTTGTTGCCTTTACAACGAAAAACTTCGACAACCGATCATGGAGAGCGAGTTATGGCGATTAGGAGAGAAGACATTAATGTGTGGGAGAGACGAGCGCCCATTGCCCCTTCTCACGTCGCGGAACTTGTACATAAAGGAATCAAAGTTCTTGTGCAGCCTTCGACAAGACGAGCATACACGATGGATGAATATGAGCGAGCAGGAGCAGTTATAACAGAAGATCTAACTCCGGCCTCGCTGATTATCGGCGTGAAAGCTGTCCCCATTGACTTGTTAATTCCAAACAAGACTTACGCGTTCTTCTCTCATACGATCAAGGCGCAAGAAGCCAATATGCCACTGCTGGATGCAGTGCTTGAAAAGGTAAGGATCTTTTCGTTTGCTAGACTATCAAAGAATTAAGATCTATCCAAATTTTTGATGCAATATAATCGAGTTTGATTTGAACATGGCTCGACCAAGCAAATTAAACTGTTTCAATCACCAACTGTACGATCACCTAACCCACGAATCACAGAAATGTTAATTAAGCTATACATGCACAGTCTTCGATAATTTCCTATGGCAAGCTGCTTTACAGATATAGAAATTCGTATTATTAGATCCCTGTATCGTTTTATCACCTTTGAAACGAGTAATTTGTAGCGCTTCGCTTTCGTGCCACGTGCATACTAATTTTCACACACCGCAATTTTGTTGCATTTTTCAAAACTCTCTCGATCGTCTGAATTATTGCCGTTCCTTCTGGCAGAACATCAGGATAGTTGACTACGAAAAGATGGTGGATAGCAAAGGACAACGGGTGTGTGCTTTTGGCAAGTTCGCCGGTGTTGGAGGTTTGTGTTTTGGTTGCCTACCGTGTAAACCATCTTGGGGGTGTGTTGGGGGTTTGGTCAATGTAGACAGTCAATATCAAGTTGTTAAAGTCTGAGGATTCATTGTCGTGAATAATTCTAGATATATGAACTTCATATATTTCATTGTATCTCAATTCTAGATGTGTTACAGTGTTCTAGATTAAGATGATTTTTTGATGAAAATATAGCCTGATTCTGAAAAAATGCTATTGTTCTCTGAGTATCTTTTGGATCAAACTTTTAGAAGGTAAATTCCTCTTGCCTTACAGAGCTGTTCTATGGAAGGGTATATTTGATTCTGTGTGATGTACACTTGACTGGGCAAGGGGGATGAGCTCATCAGATACATGGCTTTATTAGGATTCTTTTGAAGAAAGTACAGTATGAGCATTTCAAGAAACAGGTTTTGGTTTTTCTATCCACAGGTATGATAAATATTCTACATGGTCTTGGGTTAAGGCTCCTTGCCCTTGGACATCACACACCTTTCATGGTGAGTAGAATGTTATTGGATTTATAATGTTAAGCTCAATATTTCCTTTACATGATTATGATGCTCTCCCTTAATTACATTGAGTAACTGTAACAGTGCCCAAGTTATAGCTTTTAACAGAAAATGACAAAATCAATAAAAACCACCCAAAGTTAAAAAAAATTGTAGCGTCACTGACTTTCATCTCATGCCTAAGTGAAGGAATTGGCATGGACCTAAGAAACTATCATGGTTGCGAGTTGTCCTTAGAAGGATTATTATAGGTTGTATGTAGCGACTGATGCTTGAAAAACTTTAAGAAAAGTCTTCATCAAAGATGCAGCACCACACCATAATATGCATATCTATGGTCCTAAGACAGTAGCTTGTTATCAGAAGTATTATGGAAAAATTAACTGTAGATTTTGGTAGACTATGATGTTAGACCTTGATTAAACTAAAACATTTTGACACCCGGCATCTTTTAATTAATGACATCAAAATTTCATCATATTTGTCTTTATTATTTACTAATTAAAGGTATTTTTTTCTCAGTATCTAGGGGCAACTCATAACTACAAGAACAGCAGAGCAGCAAAACTTGCCATCTATGAACTTGGAGAGGACATCAAAGCTGGTAAATTACCAGCTCATTTTGGTCCTTTGTCATTTGTGTTTACTGGCTCAGGAAATGTGTCACAGGTATTTTTACCTAACAATGGATTATTTAATTTTTTAGTTGGATTTGAGTATGATCTTGGTCTATAAATAAATCAACAAATGAAATGACTGACTTCAACAAGATGGTTGTGCATCTCCTCAATAAATAAAAAAATCAGTCTTGCAAACTTGCAGTTCTTCACCAGGGTTTTATATTATCTAAGGAATTTGTTTTGGGATTAATATTCTGAAGCACTCTGCCCTTTTGTTGAATGCAGCTTACAGTATTTATATGTTAGAATTCATTCCTTTAATCACTCACCCAGGTCCCCCCCCCCTCCCCCTTCCCATTTTGGCCTGGGCTACACTGTGGGACTCAGTCACCCTCACCAAATTTGATTCTGTACTTGTTGATTATTTACAGGGTGCCCAAGAAATGTTTCAGGAACTTCCACATATTTATGTTGAACCACATGAGCTGAGAAAAGCTATACAAAGCACTGGTAAGGTTACAACTTCCTAAAACAGTGGAAGTCAAATTGGTGACCCAGGATAACCCAGAGTAATTATAAGGACTCATGTACTTCCTCTAAGAACAAGCCATACATTCTGGTTTGTGTACAGGTTGAAAAAAGCAGAAAAGAAGACCAGTGTATTAAAAACCCTCTGACTTAGATTGGTAATTAATTTGAACAGTGTACTGGCTTTTAAATATCATATGTTTAGATGTACAAATTTTTTGTAGCTGTTAGCAACAACTCAATTTTAATTATCTCTGAGCTTTTAACCCTTTACACCCTAACATCAGTTTGCAAGTTCTCTTACTGTTCTCTTACTGTTCTGTTCACAGCTTCTTAATTTAATACTGTACCTTTATGCATGTATACTAATGATACGTATGATGCACGATCCTCACAGTAGAGAGCGCTATTTATGCAATAGCCAAAATCAGACCCGAAAAAAATCAGGCCTGTACAGGATTCGAACCACTGACCTTTGCGATACTAGTGCAGCGCTCTACTAATTGAGCTAACAAGCCAACGGGGAACAGGCCGTTAAGTTGATTCGTAATAAACCCATGATGATAAGTCAGATACAATGTATATATGAAGTTCATATATTTTGAACTGCAGTATTAAATACGTATGATACTAATGATCATTGTGATTGACTGCTAGACCACAGGAAGTTGATTGGAACAGTTGTAAGCCGCGAAGATTACCTCGTACCCAAGGCTGGTGGAGTGTTTGATGCAGAGGAATATGATGCTCATCCAGAAAGATACAGATCAACATTTGCAGAAAAGGTTATTTGTTTAATATAATTATCGTTGTGACTAATTTAAATTCATAGGAACAGAGAAGAAGATAAAAAACTTCACTGGAAGATCTACAGGTAGTTTTTCAAATAGTCTTTTCAGATAGGTTTTGCAGATAGTTTTTCAAAAAAATATTGAATTTAAGTTGTATTTTTACCACCAGTTTAAAAGTACAACTAACTTGATTGTAAATGCTGAGAAATATGAGTTCAGGGCTATCGCAAAACAAAAAAACACATTTCTTCGAGGTATTAATTCAAATACTAGGTTTTGTTCTTGACAGAATGTAATGCTGTCTTGGGCCAATGTATTGAACCTTCCTTTTAGAGTTTAAGTGATTGATCAACTGAAAATGTTGGTTGTCCAAATAAAAAATTTATGGTACAATGCAGCTGGGCAGTATCAGTGTCATTATCAGCTTTCTTACAGTTTTATTTATTTTGTTCATCTGAAGGTTGCTCCTTACATGTCTGTATTAGTAAATGGAACCTACTGGGCCCCCAGTGTGCCACGCCTTCTGACCTACGATGATGCAAGAAATATTCTTAAGACAATGCAGAGGTCGAGTGCATATGATGGCTGTCCAAGTCTGCCTCACAGATTGTTGGCAATCTGTGATATCTCAGCTGATAATGAAGTGAGCTTGTATACTAAATGAATTTGGCAGGCTTTTAATATAATACAGTAGCTATAATTATTATATTTAACGATTATTCCATGAGCGCGAGTTGGATAGGAGATGACAGATAGTCAACGAGGCGCGTAGCGCCGAGTTGGCTATAATCATCTCATATCTAACAAGCGTGAGTGGAGTAATTGTTTTATTAAAAACGTTAAATTGAATTATTAAATTTTATTCAATTTTTAGCTCCCTTTTAATTTTAGCCTGACACGTATGCTTACCATATTTGTAGATCATGGTATATTGGCTGATATACCATAATGACTAAGCCAATAAAAAGTCTTGAATTGCATTATCCAATGAGCTAGTTTTTAATAAAGATTAATAGCCCTAGCCGGCGTTCGAGAATAATCAACTAAAAAACAGCTGAATGACATCTTTATTTTTACGTTAAAATTATTCCTAAAAGCCAATTTGAGTTGAGCAATATGTCAACAGACGTATGCAAATTAGGGGAATATCAATTCGAGCTCATATTATTAAAAACATTGTGTCGCTTCGGAAAAAGTTTATGTTCAGGCTTTCTCTAGCCATAATTTCTCTGTGGGAGAATATTGTTGTGGGTAATCACTGATACAAAGTAAAAAAAAAAAAGAAAAAGAAAATGAGATTGCATAATTTCTCTTTCTTTGTTCGCTAACCTGTTCGCTAACCTTTGTTCGCTAACCTTTGTTCGCTAACCTTTGTTCGCTAACCTTTGTTCGCTAACCTGACCGGCCCGGATTACTCTTGCATCCCTGTTTCTATCTACCGTTCTTGGCGATGAGAGTGAGCGGGTTTTGAAAAAAATTTTAAAAAGCCTGCGTAGATTTTTTTTACACCATAGTGAGTGCTCTACTTTGGTGGAGCGATGCAAACATAATCGTGAGGTAAATATTTTTTACATAGACACCAAAGTCACCTTAGATTTAGCGAGATTCGGTATCATAAATGAGGGTAGTTGATTCCATGATAAGGTTTGGTCAGCCATTATCTATAGTTTTGCTCGGCCAGGCAGTGTCACTTCACTGAAACTATATAGTGGACCTATACATTAGTGGACCTGCGCCGGCGAAAGGAAAGGAAACGTTAACACTGAAATATGAATGAAGAACCTGTCCAGTCAGACTCAAAGATAATTTAAAGGTTTATCAAGTTACATGTTACGATTAAAAACTGGTGCCATGGCCGGGCCATATAGATTGCACTTGGTAACCCTTTTTTCTGGGATGATTATCACTGCAAATCATCATGCTTTTTTTAGTAGAATGAGAGCGGAGCAGAACCTCGTTCCCTGGATATCTCATCTTCCCGCCTTCTGGAGCGAGAGAAGAGAGACCCAGGTTTAGACTTGTCACGTGTTTACAGAGCAATAAAATTTCATAGGGACGAGTCGTTTGTTTGCACGTTATTTGCCTCATTTCCTTTGTCATCTTCAAATCGACACTATCGTTGTTCAGGTCGTTATGTTTCATAGCAGCTTTCAAGTCGCTATATCTCGGAGTGGTTATTTTAACCTCAGTTTAAAACCTAAACAAGTCAAGTGTTTAGAGGTGATATATTCGGGCAGAGATGNACAATGCAGCTGGGCAGTATCAGTGTCATTATCAGCTTTCTTACAGTTTTATATATTTTGTTCATCTGAAGGTTGCTCCTTACATGTCTGTATTAGTAAATGGAACCTACTGGGCCCCCAGTGTGCCACGCCTTCTGACCTACGATGATGCAAGAAATATTCTTAAGACAATGCAGAGGTCGAGTGCATATGATGGCTGTCCAAGTCTGCCTCACAGATTGTTGGCAATCTGTGATATCTCAGCTGATAATGAAGTGAGCTTGTATACTAAATGAATTTGGCAGGCTTTTAATATAATACAGTAGCTATAATTATTATATTTAACGATTATTCCATGAGCGCGAGTTGGATAGGAGATGACAGATAGTCAACGAGGCGCGTAGCGCCGAGTTGGCTATAATCATCTCATATCTAACAAGCGTGAGTGGAGTAATTGTTTTATTAAAAACGTTAAATTGAATTATTAAATTTTATTCAAATTTTAGCTCCCTTTTAATTTTAGCCTGACACGTATGCTTACCATATTTGTAGATTATGGTATATTGGCTGATATACCATAATGGCTAAGCCAATAAAAAGTCTTGAATTGCATTATCCAATGATCTAGTTTTTAATAATTTGTTTTATTGCCTACATGTTTGTTTACTTAATACACTGTTTCCATTATCCAGGGCTCTCTGGAATTCATGACAGAATGTACAACAATTGAGTATCCATTCCATTTGTACAACATCAAGACAGGAACCTCACAAATTGGGTAAATGAATCAAATAGATATGAAATAAATGAGTCATAACTGAACAATGAATTCAAATGAGTAACAATTGAATCCATATTAATTTGAGTAAAATATAGTAATTATGAACAAGCACTTTATTTAAAGGGGTTACGTTTCTAAAGAAACTGCACTGTAAAAAGTTTAAACTGTTTTGAGGGTAATAGCCCTTCATCAAAGCAAATGACCAAGGTTTAATGCTCAAAAACAGCAGCTTTTTAAAACTTTATGGTGGCCAATTAACCTCTGTTCATCAACTTAGTTGATATTAGAATCAAATTATATTTTGCACTTAAAGATACATTTGGGGTAAAAATCAATTGTTCCAAAGCTAATCGAAAACACTTGAGGCCAAATTGTCTTTTACCAGATCAACTAATTATCTGCAATTTCCTCTTACACTGTATCTCTGTATAGAATGGCTGGAGATGGAGTTCTTATTTGCTCAATTGACAATCTACCTGCTCAGCTGCCAAGAGAGGCCACTGATTATTTTGGAAAACTCCTGCTCCCTTGGCTACAAGAAATGGTAACATTTACTTCTATTTTTTTTCCTCTCTGTGATATTTTTCGTCCCATCAGTCAACTCGATCGACAGAATCCCTTAAAATGTATGGATGATAAAAAAAAATGTTTTTGTTTTTCAGATTGATTCTCATGCCACTGACCCCTTTGAAGAGCAGCGTCACTTGTCTGACACAGTTAGAAATGTGAGTGTCTGCACTTTTAGCTGCCCTAGCTAGTCTGATGTAATTTTAGGGGTTGTTAGCAGAGCTAAAATATGGAAATGGTGAATCATGCTGCAGTTGTGGTTATTTACACTATACTTGCCAGCTATAGCTAGCTTTCATGCTTGTGGATCATAAAACATGGATTTTCTTCATGCTAGCTCAAGCCTGGCCACCAGTTTCTGACCCCTTAATAAAAAACATAGTAAATTGATGTTGTTGCAGTGACCACTACTTGACACATTTGAAAAAAGATACATGCAATGAAAAGTATGAGACTAACACAGAGAATTGATGTTCATATTTGTAAGTGAAAGAATGTCAGCAATGGTTGTTTAATAGCTAAATATTTAACCCAGGATCTGATTGTTAATTTTCCCCTCTGGCTGCTACGTATTCCTGTGTAAATTTAATTACTGATGAAAATTTGCTGTTAGATCGAAATAACAACTTCCGCCTTGCGTGATTCGTTTGAGCATTAATATTGCCATTATCTTTTTGCTGTAAAATGTATGGATATTATAGGGTTAGAAGTTATTTGTTAATCACTTCTGGGAGTTAAAGGGTTGAATTATCATTTTCATTTGCATTCCCAGGCAATCATCACTTCTAATGGATCATTAACAGAAACCTACAAATACATAGCAGGCTTAAGGAAAAGGTAAACTCTGAAATTTAATCTACTGCAGAGCGAAATTTTTATTATCAGATCCCAGATGTTTGGGGATATAATGCTGGCATTACAATGATCGTAACTTATACATGTTGCTGTTTCCTTTATTAATTGATTTTAAGGCCATGATGAACTGTCCAGTAATTCACCTTTAATTTTATTTCTAACTAAAGGTAACAATATGGTTATGTTTGGATATTATTGAATGTTTCATTAATTCTATTCCTCTGGTAATTATAAATTAGACTACAATAATAATAATTAATAACTAAAATATCTCAACAGCCATACTGTATGACAATGAGGAGTGTAATCTTGATTAGTCTTATTGCATCACTTTTCCCAGCCAAGAAGAAGCAAAAGCCAGAGCATTAGGACCAAATGTCTCTGTGCCAATCAAGCAGAGAGTATTGTTGCTTGGCTCTGGGTTCACTGTGGCTCCCTGTATTGAATATCTTACCAGAGATAAAAGCCTTGCAGTCACTGTTGGTGAGTTCTTCTGTGACTGTCACAACATGGTTACAGCACATTACTAATGATGGCCATTGCTTAATGAATTGCTATCATTTTTTAACCACTGTTTTATTTCCATTAGCTTATTCTGGATCCACTTATTTATAGCATCTAGGTATATTCCAAACCAAAAAGACTTTTCAGTTTGATCGAGTTCCTGGCCCATAATACACTTACTTCCCTCAAAGAAATTTCATTCTATAAACACTTAATTTTTCATTTTCACCCTTTATCCTCCTTCGCCCCAGCCCTACCCCTCCTAGTCACAAGTGGGTAAAACATAATCTTTGGAATACCTTGAACAGCTCCTCTTTACTAAACTTTTATACTAGTCTTCTGACCACTTGATGTAAACATCTTTTCTTGCTACCTAGTTAAGTGTCCTTGGGTCCTCCAGGATGACATTATGGATGACATAATTAGGAAAAACTAGATCTAAGGATACTTATTTAATGAGAAAAGACAGGGTCAGGATAATAATTATATGAGCTAAGGGGGAAAACTAATGAAAATCCTAATTAAAAATAATCTCACTGGCCAAATGTTATGTATTTTACTTTATCAATCAAGCATTAATTCAGTCCTGATATATTTGTTACAATCTTTAGCATCAGACAAAATCAGAGAAGCAGATGCACTAGCTGCTATGTACAGAAACACCACTCCAACCCTCCTTGATGTCACACAATCGGACGAAAAGTTAAACAAATTGATCCAGCAACATGATGTTGTGATTAGGTGAGGATAAAACAGAACCAATGTGCTTTTTGTAGAGCTAAATTAAGTTGGATTTTCCATTGGTAGGGGAGAGGGGGGAGGGTGGGGTTTCCTTCATTGGCATCTCACGGGCATTTTGCGTATCATCACCACTAACTACTGACGGTCCTAGGGAAAACTCCTAGTTCAATCAGTCTTATAGATCTCTTTGTAAATATCCATTTATCCCCAGACCTCAGCATTCATTGACCTGTGAAGGGAATGTGACAACAGTAATTATCCTTTTCATGTCCAGTTCTGATAGAGCTTAGCCACTACTAACTACCTCTGACACTGAACTTATCGTTTTATATTCAGATTTCACTTTCTTATTTTTATTATAGAGCTGTGCTAGAGATATTTTGACTTGTACTTTAATTAATATGTAACTGTTACACTATCATTAAAGTGACTATAACTTATACTTTCAATTTCAGTTTGCTTCCCTTCTCTTTGCATCACTTTGTTGCCAAGAGTTGCATCACTCATAAAAAGAACTTATTAACAGCCAGTTATGTACTGCCACCAATTGCAGAGCTACACCAGAGGTACAGTGGAAATATCTGCTCATGAAGTTTGATCAATTGTTACTCAACAGGATCCTAATATCTCCATTTTCAGAGAGTTGAAGTTGAAGTTCATTTTATTTGTTTTAGCAGGTTGATTAATTTGGCAGCTGTAATAGCTGATGTGGACCTGCTGTCCTAACCCACCCATCCCACCCCAGGGGAGGACATCCTCCTCCCCGGGAAATAACTGGTCGGAGCTACAGAGAATTCATCCCGGATGTGAAGTTTCGTATCTGTCATGTGTCATGCATACAGCAACGTGAGGGATAAGTGATGTGTCATGCATACGGCAACGTGAGGTATAGGTCATCTGTCATGCGTACAGCAATGTGAGGGATAAGTGATGTGTCATGCATACAGCAACGTGAGGGATAGGTCATCTGTCATGCATTACAGCAACATGAGGGATAAGTCATGTGTCATGCATACAGCAACGTTAGGGATAAGTCATGTCCATAGTATCGTGTTTCTAGAAAGAACAAATATGTAAGATTTTGAGCTGGTCTGTCGAGTAAAAAAGGATGTAAATTCATTTTTCTTGAGTTTGGGATTGGGACATAGGTATTTTGTCTGTTCTTAGAAATTATGGTCCATTATTGGGAAAAAATGTCTTATTTGCTCTTATGGTAACTCTGCCAACGTTCTATCGCAATTCATTTGATCTGATTGGTTACGTTACTCGCTACCTTTTCCGTGATAGCTTATCAGTGTGCAGTAGTTACCAAAATAACATGATAAGATAAGCATGTCGTTTTGTTAAGTAATAAACGATTAGTAGACTTTTCCGAAAAGTTATTTCATTAACTGTCGATACCTACAGAATGTGGGATAGTTGATTCGCGCTTCTCCCTCATCAGCTATCACGTGATAGAAATCTTGAGTTCATAGTCTATCTGTTAATAAAAAACTTTGCTTCTGATAAAACACAACTCTTTTTGCATCGTGAAAGATACTTGCGACAAATTCAGTCAACATTCTTTAAGCAGACAAAAACTCTTTGCAGAGGTGAAGTAGAATGAATTAGTTTTACAGAGGTTTAAATTGGTGTGTGCGCTTGTTTCAATTTAGTTGGAGTCCACGAGCTGGTCTGCTGAGTATCATGAACAGCGCTAAATATCTTTGGTATGGAAAGGTAAAATTGGCTTTAATGTTTTCATTTATAAACCTCCCGGCTATCCTGATTGGCTGGTTTGTGTCGTTACACCGCATTTAGACAGATGAGTTTCCTTGAAAATGTATTCTAGAAGAAATCTTTTTCTTCTGTTGTCCGATCATTCTAAGCTACTCGTGAGCAACGGCCAATCAGCAATCAAACGACAAGCTGAGTCCACGTATCCAAGAGACGCTTGAATCTTCGCCGCCAGTTTGATGGACCAGTACAAGAGGCTTATTTTTCTCAACGCACTCAACTTTGGACAGCGACACCTTTCCTCTTACAAACCTTCAATTCACCTTTTGTGTAGCCCTTTCACTCCCAAGATCTCTTTAGTAATTCTCCTTAATGTCTCCCATGCAATTCATTTCCGAGAATTTGATATTGGATCAACTAATAATCCCCTAATTGATAGTTTTCTTTATTCGCAATACTTGGCTGCGCGATGTTGTATTGATATTTTAAGAGTAAATTCCGTCTTGGTCACTCATGGGAGTTAAAAGGTAAAAGCACGAAATGTGGTAACATCGTGAATCTCATGAAGATTTAAAGATGATTAAAAATAATTAAATAAATAATTACAGATTGAATCAGAAAAACTTTTTTTGAAGTAATGACAATTAAAAATCACAATACTGCAAGAATTTATTTTTATGCTTCTTTCTTTTAATTATGTTTTAGAGTGTTGAAGTTCCAGCGGGAGGGGCTCTTCTGGAAGAGATAAAACCAACAGACATATTCCCTGGCTATAGACTGGAGTGTTATCCCAACAGAGATTCAACTAAATATGGCAAACTATATGACATCGCCACGGCCAACACAATACTCAGAGGAACACTGCGCTATGAGGTACAGCATAACAGTGATGTAGTATGACGATAATCTCAGGGTGAACGCTAATTGGCTGTAACCAAGGGTTTTTGATTTGCTCACTCGTCGTAGGCAGGTGTAATATTTCAATTAAGCGATATCCTGGTTTTTTCAAGAATGATTTGAGCCCACATTTTGTTAGCTTTGTCCAATGTGTGAGTGTAATACCTTTTTTTTACTTTATCATCATTTTGTGGTAAAAACTATACCACATAAGTGTGAAGTAGTGGTATGATATGAGTGGTAGTTCCGAATATGTTGACGCCAAATTGCAGAATTTGCACCCAAGTTACAACTTGACAGAGGATTAAACTTTTCAATCAGGGCATTTGTCTGGTAGTGATGACTTTGCACCTTATATGACTTCTGTTCTCAGACAAAGGCAAATCAAGTTCAACATCACTTTCTTAAGATGATTTCTGCGATCTGTTCTTGTTTCCCAGGGATATTCCACCGCTTGTTTAGCTTTGTACCAGCTTGGAATGTACAGTACGATAGAACGACCAGACCTTGCTCTGGCTCATGAACTACCCTGGGTATGAAACCAGTTTAACAGTTCTTGTTTTGATATTGATATGTTGGTGTTAGTAATAGTTTTTGAAATAAATTTGGGATTTAGTCGTTCTTGACTGTTTTGAAGCGAAAAAAACTCACCCAAAAGTCCGGTCTTAGAGTCGAATATTGTGGTAGAATAAAAGACAGACGTCTCGTGGCAATTTCCTTGCTTCATTTTTGTCGCACTGTAACTGTTACGCAACATTTAGAATGTTTACCGACGTATTCACTGTCAAAGCTTTAAATTTATGATTTGTTGCACAATGACACTGACTGTGACACCCTGTGGAAGAGAAGGTAGCCCCCGAAAAAGTAGTACACGCTGTATTTTAGATACCAGTTGGGCGCTTCCTTTGTTGAACTACGAAGCCACATGGTGGGAGCGAGGCCAGTAGGCTGAAGTGTTTATGACAACCCACTCCTAACTTTTTTGTGTGGATTGTTACTTCTACAGAAACAAGTCTTGGCAAAACTTGTGGGTAAACCAGACGCAAGCGACTCTGAGCTTCATTCTGTTGTCTTTGAGAAAGTTGGAAAGGATCCTGCTCGTATGCAGGCGATCAAAGAGTAAGTGCACATTTTCAAAGATGCCCTTCTATTCTGTTTCGTCTGCGTTCGGTCTAAGGACTTTCACGTTTCACTTGGCCGACTTTTCCTCCAATTTTCGTAATGGTAGTCGCAGCAGAGCCACTTTAATTCTCATGTTTGATCAGCACATGATACCTCTATACAAACACCACACAGATGAGCAACGAGAACAGATTTAATAATTCATTGACGGGGGTTGTCTTTTCTAGTTAATTAGTTCGTCACTAAGTTAGGAAATGAATACAATGTAATTCCCCTTAACTTTAAAAAAGACTGGCCTCGACATACTCTTTAAAACCTTTATATCGGATCTCGCAGTGCGCACAGCNTTATCTATTTTACCATCCAGTTTATGGCTGATGTTTAGCGTCGTTACCATGAAAACTTAAGGTTATTTGAAAAAAAACAATTTTCTCTACAGAAGAGGGAGAGAGAGACATGGTGTTCCTTCAACATGACATAGGTGTGGACTTGCCGGATAAAACACAGGTATGTTAAGGACTTATAGATCGACCACGTTTTCGTTATTTAATTTTTAATTTATTCTTCATTAATCTATGAATCTTGACTTTTATTGCTTGGTCAATAAATGATTTATTGAATGGCCAAGGATTACAACAGAGAATTTTCGCTTCGTGGGAAAGCATATTAACGGAACGTGTCTCGTTTTTGTTGGATTGCCTTCACGCATAGGGTTGTTGTGCTTTTGCGACTTCATTGTTGGTAAAACTGTCATAATTGGTTTCTTGTTAAAGAAGTTAAAGATTGTCAGAGGAGGAGTGGGGCGGCGATTGGCCAGTCAGGACACAGGCCCTTCTACATCTTGCCAGCTGTAGTGTGAAAGTGTTTCTTTAACCCCCAAACTTATTCTGATCAGGCATGCGATTATTACCGATTATCAATCTTCTTGTCATCGACAGCAAAACCGTCGAATTGACATGATTTGTCATGGTGATCCGAATGGTCACTCAGCCATGGCGCGAACTGTTGGACTTCCGGTAGCCATAGCAACTAAGATGGTGTTGGACGGTGAGTCACTTGATTTTTTCAATGGCAGCAGAGAGCTCCAGAAATTAATAAAAGAATAATAAATATAAACGTGAAAATTTATAAACAGAATTGGGATTTGCCATTCTAGTAACTAAAGAGGCACTCGAGTCGATTAGTCAAACGCATCAAGATTTAGAGCCTCGATTCCAGGGACCAAACCAGTTGGATATTCGCAGACTTGGCAGAACATATCCAGTTTGCAGCCTACCTTTAAATGACCACCCTTTTATTGTAAGAATAGGAGTTGAACTTTCCTACACTTAACCATTTTACTCTGTACAAAAATGACCAAACAAATTTCTTAAATGATTTTTTCGTTAAGTTCTGTAGTTTGTTTTATATCTCTCTTTTTTTTTCCTTGCAGGGGACTTAAAAGCCACAGGCGTTGTTCTTCCTCTCAGCCGGGAAATTTACAAACCACTACTAAAGCGACTCAAAGCAGAGGGAATTCACAGCGAAATGACCACAACTGTACTGTAAGATGACATTTAATCACCACACAACTCAATCGATTTGTGTATTGGCCTTGGTAAAAGTCCGGGTTTTTTAATACTGTATTTGTTCGTTTTGTCTCGGTTTTGATCCTATTTTTCTGTTGGTGCTTCTATTTCTAGGGGAGTTAATCCTCTTAGACTGACATTCGCTGAAATGCTGAATATTAATTTTATCACGTCTAATACTTCCCAGTCTACTGCAAACTTAAAACATACAACATACATATCGACTGAATTAATTTGTATTTTGCTCCCATCCTCTATGATAAGTTGAGGCTTAAATTTGCTCAACGAAGAAAAGTTACATGTTGCCAATCATGCATGTGTATTTTATAAGACGAAATTATCCACTACCCATATTTATTCAATTGAAGTGCATTTAATGCATCTTGTATATTTCTGGTGTATTTCATTAACTGGTACTTTCTGGTGTATCTTTTTTTAAAGCTTTTTGAGCTTAAAATGTTTATAAAGGAATTATTTATGTATTTTCTAAACCTAAGAGAAAAGGTTGGGTTAAAAACCCCAACGCATGTTGAACTGAGTGAGTTACTCTCGGTGGAGGAGAGAAGAATGTTTAAAATTCTTATTTCATGACATGCAAATTTAAAATTAACATTCTAAATGTATTCCTGGAACACACGTGTGTTAATATTATTATAAGTGCTACACTCATCTACTTGCAATATTTGTACCGGATTTCCACTGGACATCCACTTCTGCAGGACTCGGAATGAATTTGGTGTAATTACAATTAAATAAAGTTGGATAATTTTGTGTATATTGATTTTGAAAATGTCAGTTAAAAGGGAAAACCAATAATCACAGTGGCTCTAGGCGAGAAGTCACTGTTCCTCAAGGAGTTCCTTAGGAAGATCTCTCAAGAAGGGCTCCCAACTGTGATGGAGTTATTGATCGGTGAAGAACATTTGTAAAGCACATGCAAAAAAAAAAAAAAAATGGGAAAAAGAAAACGAAAAGGGAAGGAAGTTAAAAGGAGTGACATAAGTTTGAGTACTTTTGTTCTGTCCATATTGGGACTAAAAATTTCCATGTACAGACACAGCCCCAAACAGTTTCTTTCGAAACTATCAGCCTTTATTCATTTCCATGTACAGACTTGGTTGTGAGACCCCTTTATGACACTATTCAAAACTATTCGTGTAAAGAGCCGTGGCGGTGGTGAGGTTTTGTTTCATGAACAAAAGTCACTCAAAGGAAAGCCGTTAATTTTTACTAAACATGATTGGCCAGTCGGACAGTGTCGACCTGTCAATGACCTTCAGTCAAGTGGAATCGTTAGTTCGTCTCACTAAGGTGTCACTTACACTCGTTGACTTGGGTTTGACGTGGCCTATCTATGTTTCCATGTGTTCAGCAAAGGATATCGCGAATTTATAAGCATCTTTTAAATTAGTTCGACTGTTAAAGATAGTTTCAGGTTTGTATAGGTCGAGAAAATTGATCATTGTCGCTTTTCATTGGCTCGTGCCTTTCCATTTGTCATGATGTGTTTCAAGTTGTTTCTCTTAGGAAACAAAAGGAGTTGATAATGACCGCTGAGAAAGTTGAAGAATACTGAAGACCAACCTGACTTCTTGTGCAGTGTTAATTATAGTAATTGTCACCGTTAAAGTTTAAAAGTAGATTGTTCAGGTTGCCTGAAGTGTCTTTCTACAGATTTTTCTTATTTTGAGTAAGCATTATAACAGAATACAAGAAAATAAATTGGTATGTAGTTGTTTTATTCCACGTTTAATCCTTTTCAGAAATTGCTGTTAACCTGTTGTTTGTAAGGTTTAAGCTTCACTTCGTAATCTTGTCATAAACGTTTGTCTGCATATTGATATCATGTACGAAATATTACCATAAGCGAATGAAATACAGGCACCTCTAGCATTGTATTTTTGCAACTTCCCTTCAATAATTGCATGTTTCTTTATTATCAATTGGTCCGCGCTACAAGCCTAGAATATCCTGCCCCATAATAGGAATAAACATCCACGATATGGAAATTGACCTAGGTAATATCACTTTTGATTTGAAACTGCGTTTGCTTTTGATAACCGTTCATGACATACAAGTTTGTGAGCTATCCATGCTTAGTTAAATCCGTTTTGCTGCTGCTATGTTGAGTAACATCCTTGCTGCCACTTAACACCTCTGAACCTTACTGTCAAGTTTTTGTCTTCTCTGTTTTAGAGTTCCCTATTTTTTGAGTTATCATCAGCCTTAGCTTAAGTATTTTAAGGAGCCTTAGTTTAAGGATCTACGTGATAAGATGACGTAGTCAGTTAAGGTTGCCAACTAGACAGACCTCTTCCAAGTTTTTTGAGTGTTTCCTTTTTTCTCTCTTTGAATCATCATGATCATCGGATAATATTCTCTCCGCTTGTATCTCATAAGTCGAAGAATGACGAGTTCTACTGAAATAAATTTGTTTGAGCTGGTAACCGCCAAGATTCTGGTTTCGTATACACACAGCCCCTCTAGGCTCAAGAAAAGCTGCCGTCAGTGGAGCAGTCACCAAAAGCTGCATCCTCACAGCTGCATGTCACATGAAGATCAAAGTTAATGAAGCACTTTTCGAAATTTGTGACCCGAACTATCAAAACGAGTGGATAATGCATGGAGCAAGGAATACAATTTACTGTTAAAAATGGTCGAACTTTCTGAAACTTAGTGATAATTTAATTTTGTTTCAAGACTGAAAAATATCTTGATTTTGCTGACTAGACAACACAAGCAGACCACCAATAATTACCCACACATAAAAATGCAAGTGTCGGTAGTTGGTTCAATTGACAAGGTCATACAACAGAAACAGCTGCAAGTTACCAATCAGTATCAACGTATTACGACTGTGCGATTTTCTTCTCCCAAACCACAGATCTCATTTATGAAGAAATTACTTCGTTCTCTAAGCTAGAGGCGTTATTTTAGTAAAATCTCACGGCAGGGTTTCCACGTGGTATTATTAAGAATCCTGCCGATGTGTTTGCAAACATGGCGAAGGCTGCACAGTACTTATTTAGTGTTCTCAGCTGGGGTTAAATTAGCTCGATCCCATACAGGAAAATTCATTTGATTTTTAATTATTTTTCAAGTATGTTACCTTCAGGAAGCGCCAAGCTTTCAATCTCACTACAACTTACATGCACTTTTCTCTCTGACGCTGAAACTTCCCTTCTATCGTATTAACTATTAATTTTTTTGCAAACTACAGAACCTTTTTTTTTACAATACGTACAAAAGAGCACAAAGCTGAAGACAAAAGCTGGGTCGTGGGAACTACAAATACCTTCCTTTGTGGCGCCTGGAAGTTTTCAGAACAAAATGATTCAACAAAATTTCAGAACAAAATGATTCAGTTGATTAGAGATTAAGTTACGCAATAGCGTGTGCTATATTTTAATAGCTCACTTCTCATTTAACCTATCAGATTCTCTTTAATTTTTTGGAACTGTATTTAATCCCGTAAAAATTATCCTTCCGTTTCTTTCATTGATAATAGAATGACCTCAGATTTCGCTTAATCAGTCATATCCTTACTTGTTCATACCGTTTTTTTTTTTTCCTGTTTTTACATGTTGAGTAATTCTTTTGATTTGCTTGTCTGTTTGTTACTATTTTCATTGGAAAAAAAAAACTGACTCGGAGTAAAATATTTGTGACGCTCCGTTAAACAGCGTTAAGGACAAAGGCGTAGTAAACATTGCCAAAGTAATTAAAGTTCTGCAGCTGCGTTCAGTGAATAACAAACCAATTACTTATGGCACATGTTGGTAACCTTGATGTACTACCGACCCAAGCCGCCATCTATTCATTTATAATCGTAAACTGGACATAAACAAAAAAAAAACCCTCAAGTAGTCATTGCGAAATTTTTCTTTTCTTCATCAAAAAACATAGGTGGTGCAATAGCACAGTACATACAGATTACCTCATGCACTTAGTCCATTTCAAAATCGAAAAAGGAAAATTGGAATAGAATTTAACATTAAGTGTAAATGTGCTGATTGTTGAAAAAGGATGTCCAACGGAGGTTTGTAAACAATACATTACATCAGTTAGTAATTAAAGGTAGTATAAATCAATTTGAAATATGAAAACCGTCTCTCTTTAGTTTGGGTTAAGTGGCAGAATTGAGTAACATTTCAAGCACTAAAGCAAAACTTTTCCATATCTCTTTCTCCACCAGAAGTGACATGTGAATAACTTACATATTGTTTACTTCAAGTAATATATCACTTGACATTCCTTCTGTTGGAAAATAAAGTAAACATATGCACTTTTTGATAGAGATTCAATACCTTCAGATAAAAAGTCACCAATGTATTCCGCTAAAAACGCGATTTTTTTAACTGATCACTTCAGCTTGATAGTTCAGCGGGAAGCTTTGATTGATTGGATATCTTGCTCATTGTTTCAATTTCAATCTCTGTTCTGGTTCTTTGATGGCGATTGTTGGATTTTAAGAGTTAGAATGGTCCTTTTTCAAAGCATGTCCAATGGAATGAAAATTAAGCCTTTAATCTATGGGATGATCGCTTATAACAACTTTGTTTCTGTGATGTAAAGGGGAACATTGGCCGTGGGAAAAGTTACTGTTTAACCAACAAAATTAGAGTTTTTACGCTCCACCGAAGTCAGACGGAAAACAATCAAAACATTATGAATAAGGAAAAAAATGATAAAGCCAGTCTCTTGATGAAGTCTTGACGGAGTTGTATTGCACGCTCGTTCTGTGACCGCGCTCATTTATCCGTTACATTACAGGTAGACTGGTTACAAACAACTTAAAGGAGGGCTTTTGAAGGAATTGTTTATTTACTGGAGGTGCGTAACACTCATTCATAATAGCTCTTCCTCGTAAATTATTTCAAAACGGTACAATGGCGAGATGGGAGGTCTCTTTGTGATATGATAAACATGTAAACGCTATATTGGCAATAGGATGACATGATCTTAATCGTTTATTGATCTTTTTGCCACACCAAGTGCTTCTAGAGGAACATTTTAATAACTATGCACAAACATTTGACGATTTCAGTTGTCCAGACGATAAATGGTAAACGAGATAAACTTACTTTTGACCTAAAAGTAAAATTGCATGTGTAAACAAGCTTGACTGTGCATATTAACCATAATAGCGTATTGTGCGAATTCGTATTTTGATTTTAGACTGGTTTTTCGAACAGGGATTCTTATTTCTCCTTAGCTTTTTTCTGGAATGTAATATTAATCTGTTTGCTGATCTCATTTCGCGCGCAATTTTGTCATTTTTTCAAAGCATTTGCATGAAAAGAAGCTTTGCCTAAGGGTACCAAGTCAATTAGGATCACCATATCTTTATCATCATCTCTTTGATCTTATATCTGTTGAAAAGATGAAACAATTATGAATCTGTAGATAACACGTCACCTCTATCACCTACATAGAGCTTTTTTTCCACAGAGCGCGTCAAAAAATTGACCTTGATTTATCATTTGTGTTCCGCGCGTGACGCACACAGACAGACTTGGGAAAAAGCACGAAAAGCGAGCTCTTAGGTCGTAAGCATCGATCCGGTTGATGAGATCTGAGCGCAAATTAACTGCTCTAGACACTTAATATATTTACTTTTCTTTTGTTTTCGTCCAACCTGCTTAATTAAACAAAACAGCGTTTGTTTCCCTTACACAGGAACACGTGTAATTATAAGATACCAAACGATTTCCAGGTCGGGAATGGTGTCTTCAAAAAGTTTGTCGCGCCTCTTTCAACGTTGAAAAGAACGCTTTAGATTCTGTAACTCCAAGGCTATTTAAATCTTCCGTTGATATCCTATTAACAGTCTATTGGATAATATAAACAATAAAATCACTTCCGAATTTAGTCTAAACTCCGTCAATTAATCTTCTTGATTAGAAAAGAGTCATTTTTATTCTTGGTCGTTTTACATAATAATATGTCTGCAGAAACAATAGATTGCCCCCAGTGTTTATTTTCATTTATTGAACCTCAAGCAATAGCTCTTAAGAAAAGACGCATTGTTTTGTTCAGGTTTTCCATCGGTGCCGTTATTGTGTTGTGAGGCCGAGTGTTAAGTAATTATTAAAAACAGCAGTGTCAACATTACCATACATATTGTAAACATGTAAACAAGGCTTAGTTAGATCGAGTCCACTGTAGTATTGATTTAAGATGTTATGGTTAGCCAACTTGTTTATAAACACGAAACATATTGAAAGCCACGTTGAAATCATTGCTGGAGGCGTTTTTTTTTTCTTGTGTTCTCGCCGCCTTACATCGATCACATCTAACAGAGACTTGAAAGGCCACCTTTGACACTTATAAATCACGATAATGGCTAGCCATATACTAGATAATCGGAGCGCTTCAATCAAACTCAAGTGTTTCCCATTTTTGGTAAAGTGTTTATTTTTATACAAATCATCGCCTAGAGAACTAAACTGTTATAAAGCTAAACACATTGATCACTCTATCGACATTTTACAGAAGAAAAAAAGCGCGCTATTGACAATGTGAATTATATAAACTCCTTATGGTTATTGAGTGAGTGTGATGAAGAGCAAACGGCATCAGTAGAGGGTGATAACATGTTTATACAAATGAGTCACAAAATACTACGTACATTATGCGATTGCAAAAGATCTTAGTTTTGTGTTCAGGTTCTACTCGATTTCGTAATGCTGATACAAAAATGTTCTTCGTTTTATTAATTGTTACTTCAAGTACTCATTCCAAAGAAAATTTTCAAGCCCTATGAAATTGCTTTACTCGAATGGACCATTAATACAAGAAAAAAGCCTGACAAATAAGCTAGTTCTAGGAAGTGACGCTTTACTCTTGAATTGATGCTAAGTTGGCTTCTTTTTTCTCCACATTACTATGAATCTCTTGAACATTACGTCCTAAAAACCTCTTCATCAAGAAAAAAATATGTGATTGTGAGCGGAATTACGTTTGTCAGTTTAACATTCTTGTGATAAATGTACCGACACTCGAGCGTCTATGCATAATCTGTGAAATATTTACAATCGCGATGGCAAGTCTGATTTTCTACTGGAAAGTTAATCAAGAGTCTATTACTTGAACTCCAACAGTAACAAAGGTTTATTCTGAATGTTTGCTTACTTTGTGGAAATTAGTAAATGGTATGTTCCAAGAACTTAGTTCTCTAGTCAGAATTTTCTACGTGTAATTAATGCCCATTCCATTCTCTGACTGCGAAACAGAAGACATATACAAGTAAGGATGAAATGAGGATGACTGAAAATGCGGGCTGTAGTTCCTGAATGCGGGGTTATCCTGCCAACTGAAGAGTCCATAAGGCGGGGGAGGTGTCGAAAAACCATGGTACTGATTCATTTGAAAGCGCGCGGTGTCTGCCGCTTCGCGCGAGTAGTAGTCATACCTTGACGTTGGCAGTAATGGGCTTCTGTTTGGGGTGACTCCAAACGGGTGCGAGAACGGCTCATTAGGAGGGTGCGGCTTTGCGAGCTCCAGGCTAGGAGAAGGCTTGTGATGATAGGGAAATAAGCTGGCAGTAAGAGGTAATCCCAGCATACTGCGATCTGTTCCACATCCCAGGGTATGACTACACCTTGGTCTTCGAGGCTTTCTTGGTCGTCGAAAATTCCCTTTGGAAAACTCTGGTAGATCTTTTGGGTGAATCATCCAGTAATGTCCCTTTCCGTTTTCGGCTCTGCTCGCCTTCACAAAGCAGTCGTTACTGGACAGATTATGTCTGACGCTATTTCTCCAGCCTGGTCCCTTCTCTTTGTCCAAGTGTGGAAAGGTTTTGGCTATGAAACTGTAAATTGAGCTAAGGGTCATACGCTTGGAAGGCACACTTAAGATTCCTTGAGCTATGACGGCCACAAACGTCTCAGTCAGATTTCGGCAATCTTTGGTCTCTGGTTCTTCATTCTCTTCTTCATCTATGCTGTTCCTCGTGGACTTGTCACTGTCTTTAGCCTTTTCTTTCAAATGATCAAGTTTTGCGTCTTTGGACATGGTTCTGTTTAGCACTTTTGTCTGCGCTTCAAATTGTGACCGCGGCATTTGACAGAACTCTCTTTCTCCTTCACTACGGGGAAACCTAAACGCACTGGTATCAAAACCATTACTTTCTTGCCTGTTTGTGTGGACGGTGTACATTCTTTAGTTTTGAGAAGCTTTAGAGAAGGACTCTTAAAACTCAAAGGCTCATCGAGAGTGTAACTCGTGTGTCTGTTGTTAACAAATTGTGAGCTATCTATTTGCCGAGGGCTATTGGGTCGACCTTCTTTCTTATTACGTTGTGCCGCATTGATAGTCTTAGCAGGGGGTTCGGAAACACCAAGCGGACAGATGCGTCGCTTATTTTTGTATGAAATAGCCGTCTTAAATATAGCTTTCTACCTCGCGGCGATAAAACAGCCGATGAGTCTTCTCTCGACTTTATTGAAACCTAAGCGCTACGTTGTGTGGCATATTACTGGGTTGTTTTCCTGAGGAAGTTAATTGGCAGCTCGCTGATCCGTGTTGATTCAACAATTGATTTAAACAAGCGAGGAGTTATAAGAACTGTTTATGATGAACTGGCAGCTGGGTTTTACGTCACTAGCGTTTAACCACGCATGATCGATCAGTCAATTCCGTTCGCCAAGAAAAGGCATAGTTAAGAAAAGGAAATTAGAATAGATAAGATTGTTTATGATTTGATCAATCAATTAAATTCTTGAAAATAGCTAATGTCAGTTCATATTAGCTTGCTAGGAGTAGCACATCCGGGATTTTGCGTGGATAGGTGGGTGGAGCGCGACTAGTTCCAGTTTACTGCAATGGTTTGGGGCCGTTTGCCAAATTTCTTCAAAGTTCAGTGATCGCTGTCGTTTATTTGTTATCCCCCTCTAACTGCGCTGAAGGCATAATAAGAATGGACAGATTTCTGATGATTGAGCAATATCTCAGCTCATACTCATTTTCGACGGAAATGGTTTTTATTAGATGCTTCCGTTTCATTTCAGATTTCACTTTGTTTTACCTTTTATCTACTCAGTTCTCCTGAGAGAAGCAAGGCTGGACTGTATTCTCTTAACCTGCCTGAGGCATTATGCTTTGCAATTGTTAGGAGAACTTTGAAGTGAATAATTTTTTTACTGATTTTTTTCGCATTCATGTCTTAATGCATCTAAAAGAAGGGACTTATCCAAAGTACTGCGAAGCACAAAGAGTTTATTACAATTCTCTGTGATTATGTCCCAACTACAGTGTTTAAACACTTAACGTAATAATAATTACTGTTAATGGTTTACAAATTCACTTGCCTTGTTATACTTCAGTTGATACCTATAAATAACTTGTTGAAAAGTTCCCACGAGAATTTCAACTACGCCGTGAAGTATATCAACTTGTAAACAAACTCTGCGTCAGTTAACAATTACTAATTGAGGTGTTTAAACAAGTAAGAATTGTCCTAACAACACTGACCTTGGAATATCGACAATTAACCTTGAAATAGTACTCTGGAAGATCTAAAATATCCATCATTTTAATAATGCAACCCCGATAATTCTAAGTCTTGAAATTTAGTTGAGTTTTTCGCGGAAAATGAACTGAGTAAGACGCATCTTTGAAATTATCTCAATTACGGATAATCAAAACAAAATATGCAAAGATAGAACCTCAAAGTAATGATATAACCTAAGTTTTCTGACTTGATACACAACTTTAATAGAGGGTTAAAGTGGGATATGAAGTAAAGCTTCGTGTTGAGGATCAAAAAGTTTCATGATACAACAAAGTGCTCGGTGATTGTTTGGTGGTTGCTAAGTTTAACGACACCAACAAACTCCTGTGAAAGTAAACTTTATGATTGGTTGATCATCCATCCATAACCCTCGTCTTATATTCAATTTTTTATCATTGAGCTTCAATGCTAAGGGCCACACGCTTTGGTTGGGGAGGACTGGGTGACGTGTCGCAGAACCCCGTATTAACGATCTCTCGTGATGACAATCCCAGTGCCAGTCCCTAAGCACCTTGTTGTAGACCGGTCTAACCTTATAGGTGATGAAATAATAATGATAATGATAATAATAATGATAATAATAATTACAATAATAATAACAATAATCAGCAGAAGCTCCACAATATTTTGATGAAAGCTGACCGAACTTTTGAAATTAGATTGAGGAGTAGTCGATCTCCAAATAAAATTGGCTGTCTATGTACTGATTGCAGGGTTGACTTGTAATTTTAATGCTTGTTTTTGAGGATAACCCCCATAAAGGACGAGATTGAACGAGAGACTAGCGGCGTGGGGTCTGGACACGACCCGGGCCATACTCAGATTTAAGTTTAGTGTGGAGGGGTATTTTTGCAGAGCTTGTCGCTCTCATCTTTTCGATTTGTCGGCTTTTAAAATTTAATTTTTTTTTACTTATTATTACTTCATTTGAACCAAAATCGAAAGCAGAAGTGGAGGGCTAGTCAGTGTGAAACCTGAGATGTTCTTATCTCCTCGGTCACTATTATTTCTCAGGGTTATACAGTTTTGACAACGTTATACATTCTCTTTGCCGAAGATGCTCATTCTCAATAATATAAAGAGCTAAAAAACAAAAATAGAATAGTCTGTCCTCCTGTCCTCCTATCCTCCTGTCCTCCTGTCCTCCTGTCCTCGAGCCAAGTGGTTATTCCAGCCGGAGCTTATCCCGGTTTCCATGTAACCTGAAGCGACTAGAAATATTACTAATTCCCCCCCCCCCCCCCCCTCTGGGTGGGATGCCAGTCTATCGCAAGCTTGTCCCCCAGCATTTTGTGAGGTCTCTCTGACAGTTCGCTGTTTATAATAACCATTTATGTTCCTGGTTAGAGAGGACTGGGTAGAGAGGACTGGTTAGAGAGGACTGGGTAGAGAGGACTGGGTAGAGAGGAGTACTGTGAGAGTCAAGTCTTCTGCTCCACAACGAAACACAAAGGCCCGGCCAGGTCTCGGACCCGGCCGTCCTCTCTCGAACCGGAGTCCCGTGCACTGACCATGAGGTCATCGCGTCTTCCACAACATAAAAGGTAAAGTAAATGAAAACCTTTTTTATTGAATTGCAGTAACCTTTATTTACTTTCTCCTTCTGAGCAACTGCTCAGACCTGCCGAAAAGTGAATCTTTAGCAGGTTTGTCACAGTTGATTGAAAGGTGATCAAATCGGGCTCGCCCAGGTGTAAAACTGGTTTGTTAAAGAAAGAAGTTTCTTGATCATTGCTCAACCTCCCCCTACACAATTATGTATAAGAGGCAAGAAGCTAGGAGATAATTAGATTGAAAGAAGTTCATCAATTACATAAAAAGATCATAGAGTTAATAAAGAAGTCACTGAGTTATCTTTCTCTTGGACTTTGAAACGAAAGTTCCGATTTTGTAAAATAAAGTGTACCTCTATCATTTTTTTTTTTTTGATTTATTTTTTCCAAGAGTTCCTCAATATATCAATCTCAAAACTTGACGTCATCATAACAATGCCTTATGTCGGTGACTATATTAGACACATCAGGGTCTTTGGAGGTTTGCCAGAATCAATAACATTTATTTCAAACGTTTTCATTGAAAAGACCCTTTAGATATTGCAATTACATGTCATTCTGCTGTCTATAGAGTGATGTCAGAGATTCTCTTTTCCTTTCAATTTCAAAGGAAACATATGGCGGCTCTAGACACATCTTTGCTTTATGAGAGTTGTTGAGTGTAGCCTTTTATTGCCCGGAAATCATTTGACAAAGGAAAAACCGTAATTACTGATATAAAATAACACAGTATCTTCTCATTATCAAATAATTATTCAATTTTTTATGATGCAAGGGTTAAAGAGTATTCGAGGTTTAGCGTTACTTTTTGAAGAATTTAAACCGTTTTTACGAATTTATGGCTTGTCAGCTTTTTTCTTTCTTGTTTCGTACCGTCCCGGTCTGAGTCAACCTGTATTTCCGCTGCATTTGCAAAACACGCTTGGACAATTGTACACAAAATTTTGAAATTTAAAGTCTCTATGTTGCTGCGATCACTTAGGAATCTTTTCTATCCGAGTCACTGTATCATAACGCTAGCCGCCCGGCAGTGTTCAAATCTGAACGATGCACAAGGACAAAAACATCTCAAAGTGCAACAGGTGGATGGCAAACAAGTCGAGGCAGTGAAGAGGATTTCAAGGTATGTTCTGTGTTCTTACAACAGCATGAATTATGCCTGGGACTATTCAAGTTCCTTTCAAGAGGCTGTCCTTTCTTCAGCAGCTATTATTTGCGATCTACGATCTACATTCGATATGTATTTTTCTTAACAACATCGTTATCTTTGCTGCTCAGTTCAGTCAGCGGTATTTGAAATATGTCAAAGAGTTTCTCATTGCGGTCATCAAACGGCTTTAAAAGATAGTGATAACCGCTGATATCCACAATGTAAGCTCTAGCCATTACGGTTAAAAATGTTGCAATCTTCACGATCAAAATTTGTTTTTCACCGCGAAGCAGATATTTAACACAATTTTGATACGATTACATGAAAGTTTTGTTTCTTGAATATCCGTTTGCGCGTTTCCATATCGGTTCCGGTAACCGGCAGAAATCCCTGAAAACTTCCGTTGCCGATGGTTTTATGGTTTCAATTTCCGATAAATAACCTTACTGACACTGATGCAAAACATAATTCCTGTCTTTAAAAGAGGCTCCGTTAAAATGACGTGAAGTGTGGCAAGTTAATGAGCAAACTGTCGTGAGTACAATAATAGATGGAAATGCCGCTCGTCGGTTGAATCGCGTCGAAGGCAGTTGCCTTAAAAGCCATTATTCTATTAGCAAGGCAAACAACTGCCCCGCGATTGACTTAAGTTTTACAGTAAATTTTAGTGTCACTTAAGAAAAAGCGGGAATACACAAACATGTACTTCCTTGGGCTTTTTACCACAGCTTTTAGTCTTTTCCGTTAACGTAACAGTTGCTACAAACACGGCTGAAAGCTGTTCACCATTTTCGGGTTGGGTTCAGTGATGTTAAGCGTTGTTCAGTTTTTACGAGTTTCCATCAGTTCTGATTTGGTGTGTTGTTTTTAGTCTCAGAAAAGCATTAATTAATAAAGAACTTTCGCCAAAACCACAGTAGGTAAAACATGCAGTCCAAGCCAAAACAAAACTCCTTCTTCTTTTGTGGTTTATATAGAGCGATTCTTCTCCTTTTGTGTTTTAATTTCATTTGTTTTTAAGACTCGCGCAAGACTCTTTAAAGTTGCGTTTTGTGTCTTGTTTCCGTAAGAATAAAAAGCTTTGACCTCCAACTGCGAGAATATCACTGCCAAATTACCGCGTGTTTGAAAATGGCACCTGCTTCGGCATCTCGCCTCTACAAAGTGTGAAAGAAACCAAGTCGTGCTAGGTTTGTCGTTTCATTAGTTCGTTAGTATCTAAGGACGCTATACTGACAGTAAATTAAAGTTCAAACCAAGCATGTTTGCTTGGCTTTCATTAGCTTTTCGCTTCCAAAATAACGCGGCTCATGCGGGAAAACAAGTGGGCAAACTCGCACTGTCCAAAAATTGCTTTGGCCGCAAAAGCACAAAGTAACTTTCTGTTCATGCCAAGAGGTTTGATATGTGACAGTTTAAGCCACACTGAAAAGTGATTTTGATCAAGTATTGCCCTAAGTTAACGATTTCGTTTAAGCATAAACGACGCAGCCATCATGTCTGATCTCCTAAATATTATAGGCAAACACATGGTTGCTTTGTGAAACATCTAATTCACACGTTTGTCTACTGATGCTGGTATCTTGACGGAACTTTTCTCTTATCAAGAAAATTTTACAAAACAAAAAAATGCTTATATACGACTGGGATCTAAACTTGAACTTCTTTAAATTTCAGCGAATAATCTAGAATATCCAGTCGTTTGAAACAAAATGACTGAATTGTAGAATAAAGCTTTACCAAGTTGTCTTTTGTACGCAAACAATACGTCAACATACGTGCTTTTGTCCAAAAATAATCCTTTTTTCAGATTGTTTTTGCATCCCTAGCCTTTTTCTTATGATTTCTGTCGTGATGTTTTTTCGGTAAGAATTTTTGGTTGACATCTCAGTATATTTAACACTGGGAAAGAAAGCATGTAATTTATCTTTAACACCTCAGCTATTGCTACTCCTGAAATTCTTTAACGAAGACACATTTGGCCACAGCGCGATCCTGCATAAAAACGCATGTTTGTATTTTCAAATTTGCTCAACTTCAAAACACCATCGCATTTCTTTCTTTTTTTTTTCTTAATCGCTTTCTTGAAATATGCAATTTTTCCATCAGAAAAATAATTCAATAGAGCAGGTAATGTTTAAACTTTCCATATTTTCTGTTTTTCACAAAACACATGATCACAAGAAAAGACTCTATTGCTTGTAACTTTAAGCGCATTCTATTCTTTCATCAAGCTTCTTTTTCACAATTGTCGCCACACATGTTGTGGGTTACGTGGGCGGCAAATAGAAAACTATACCTCTTTAATTTTTAAACTTAGTACATCAGGTTTTCTTCGTCTTTTAGAGAAAGAGAAAGGAACCTAAATCACCTTGTAAAATTAACATGTATTTTATTCTTCTTGCGGTTTCTTTCAAATACAAAAAGAATTCTTTAGACCAATTGTTCGAAACTAAATAGGCTCATCTTTGCGGGTATTTGTTGTTTTAACGCTTATTTCTTTTCAATGGCAAAGTCTTCAGGGCAAAGCGGAGATATGTTTCACATCTAATTACGAACAAGTCACTGGAAATTGTTTTACTCGCAGTAAAAAAGAGCCGAGATTTCACATAAAATCGTGAAACACTCGATATGTCTAATACAGCTTCATTCTGCTTCGTAAATTTACAATATCACAGTTTTCTCGAAAAGATTTCTTGGCAAGAAAGTCAGTTAGGCCTTTGGCTTTTGTACGCATATCTTTGTTTTGAATCAGTGTGTAATTAAAGACAAGAATAGCCTTGAAAAAATTCAGTTTTTGGATTACAGTCGGCGCGCTTCTGCAAATAATTTTTTTAGTTATTTTTTTGGTCGATTTATTTTCGACGCCAAAAAATGTTTATCATGACTCTACCTAATTCACATTTAAAAGATGAGGCCAGATTAGTTTACAAATCCAATTTATTTTCATCTAGAGGGAATTCCTTCAAAAAAGATGCAAGTCTTTTGTGCTGACTTTGATACAAGAATCTACCGCGACATTTGTCCGAAAGAAAAGGAATAACCCGATTTTTTTTATTGAACAATTACGATTTAATTAGTAACGTTGACAAGCTTAAGGTTGCTAACCTACTATAGACCGTTCAAGGGAAAACGCTGGCAAACCATAGACGCTTTATGTTGCTTGGTAAAGAAAACAATAGAAGCTGTGAGTAAACTAAACTCCCTCATCGCTCTAAATATAACGAACGAAATCAAGGCGCAGACGATAATGGTAAAATTGCCCTTTCAATACAAAAAGAGTCACAACTTACACAAGAAAATATATTTAATTTGGACGCAGGTTTTTTCCCCGACAATTTACGAACCTAGTTCTTAAAACAATTCAGTGGAGGCAAAAATTGAAAAACAGATTTAGGGAAAGTACGAAGAGAGAGATTTTTAGTTCTTTGTGAGAAGGGAATAGATATATAATCAAATTTGAAAGTACAAGGCTTATATTTAGCAGAATTTCTTCTCGATGATTCGGCTTGTGAGTTTGAAAGCATGTATAACATCATTGATTTTCGTCGCTATAAACTTGGTAAATTTTCAAACTCGTTTTCGAAGTATAGCTTTTTGACGTCATAATATTATGACCTGTTTGCGTTTTTTCCTAAACCCCACATAGAGCAGCTAATGAACCTAATTACACAAGACTTTGACCCGCAGCTGAAGAAAGAACTAAATTTAAAAGTGTTATGAGAAACAGTTTCTTTCATTTTTCGGCAGTATCGGTTCGTCTTTAATGTGTAACCTCTGTGTATTCCGCTTGAGATTGGCTAGTAAAGAATCTATGGTGTTTTTATTAATTAAACCAAGTCTATGTGTTCCTTAGTAAACGTGTAAACTTTGCTTCTTCAACAAAGTATTTCTCTAACTTAAGTATCACCTGCCGCAGTTAAGTGATAAAAGTTTTCCTATCTAATTGGCATGTCCTTGAAAGAAGCAATATTTGAATTGAGCACCATTAGGTACATTTTGTACAAGATAACTGATATGTCTTACTTGTGGGATGTTTTATCAAAACGGGGAGATATTGGCTTGCCTTTCATGGTGGTTCTCAAGGGCGTTTTGGCAGTGTCAACAATGGCAATTATAAAAAGAAATACATATGCTTCCTAGAGTACACATGACTTGCTTTGACTTGATCGCTTTCATACCGCAACAAACGGCTTTAATGAACCATATTTCAAAATTGTAGCAAAACAAATTAAAAGTTTAGACTATTGACTCAGTTGCTATATGTCTCTAAAACACTCGGGCTGACACACTGGCTAAAATCTTTTATTACTTTTCATCGCGCCTTGAGAAAACCTTTAGCGCTTTGCCACAAATTTGTAAATTGAAGCTATGATTTGCTTGTATTGTTCCCTTAATGACAAATGGTAGGCTTGCACTGAGTTGCGGCAGTGTTGTTTATGTAATTGTCATTGACACGTCACTGTAGGTATAGGCACCTGCATGGCCGGGAAATTTTCAACCCCCCAGGAGGCGTCATACAAATCATGCCTCAATACACTCCACATATAAAGACTCGCTCTACAGCTGTAATCGGTCACTTTCACACGCATTTCGTACCGTCAACACCTACTTATCACCGGTGCGCGTGTTGCCTTTAAAAGCTTGCGTAAAGTCAGAGAAGCAGAACTCGCACGCTCATGGAAAACATTTCTAGTTTGAACAAATATCTTCTACAGCCCGGCAGAATGTCACGCTTTAGTTATCATGATTTCAAGACGTTCCATGAAAGAGATTTGAATGACCTCTATTCTGAAAAACTGCAAATTGACAAGAAAGACGAGAGTCCCCACGAATTTCTGGGAACAAGAATGACTGAAGTTCAAAAAAAAGAACAAGAAAATGAGAATAGAGAGCTGACGGAAGAAGTCCGAGATACAACGACGCCTAAACAGGACAGTGACGATGAAATAAAGAATGACCGCGAGAAATCTACGGATGAAGACAAAACCAAACGCTCCAAAGATGACGAACGAAACTCAGAGACATTTGTTGCTGTCATCGCACAGGCAATTCTCAGCGTTCCCACAAAGCGAATGACTTTGAGCTCCATTTACAACTTTATCGCGCGGAACTACCCGCATTTTGATAAAGAGAAGGGACCAGGCTGGAGAAATAGCGTCAGACATAATCTGTCCAGTAATGACTGCTTTGTGAAGGCGAGCAGAGCCGAAAACGGAAAGGGGCATTATTGGATGATCCACCCGAAAGATCTACCAGAGTTTGCTAAAGGGAATTTCAGACGACGCAGGAAACCTCGCCGTCCCAAGTGCAGCCATCCTCTCATGTTCAGAGAAAGTCCATTTCTTTATCATTCATTTCCACCAAGCTTCTCAACATTCCCTTACACGGCGCATTTGAGATCAGCCCCTGGTGACGTGCCCACTGAATTACCTGTACCTTTACCATATGGTTCCAGTGAGCGCACGCTGTCGCCTGCTTTCCGTCCAAGACTTGGCCTTTTGCCGGGGTATGATGATGGTAGAGCTTTAGGCACCGGTTCCCATGCGTTCACCTACTCGACATCTGCGCTGAGATTAGCTGAAGCATCGACCGCAAGGAGCTTTCCAACAGCCAGTGGACTGACAAACTTTCATGGCTCTTTTCATTATCCGTGTGCATGTCATCGTTAAATGAACAGAGCATACAAAGTTGGATTCATGGCGAACATTTTCCCTCAAGTTCGTATAAATTAAAAAAAAAAAAAAACTATGAACTTCTACACGCTGCCGCTTTCAGTAATGTCGCCAGGATGGCAATCATTCCAGTGATATTCATAAAATTTCTGGATTAGAATTTATCTACGCCACATACAAATTATTTGGTCGACTGTTGGATTCTGATATTTTTGAGTCGAGGCAAAAGTCACCAGATCATGCAAGTGCTATTTATTTCATAACTTTTTATCGAAAACATCATTTTAGTGAAACACTATAGTCTGACAAGTTTAAGAGTTTAACTAAAAGATAAACTTAATTTAAACTGAAGTAGTTAACAAGTCGAGACTGAGTGCTTTTAGCGTTTTAATGGTTCAAGGAATATTTCCGCTAATCTGTTAAAGTTTGTAAATACATTTGTGAAATTGGCGTTTGATCGGATCCGTTTATGTACATAGAGAAACTTAGCTTACCGCTACCAATAAAATTTCTAAATGAAACTGGAGTTTAATATTTACTTGCTTAAAAGAGAATATTACTCGAACAATACCGTTTTTACCGTTAATACACACAATAGAAAAAAGAAATTAGATTTGCGGTGAGTCAAAACGAACAGTGAGGCAGTCTGGTTCCGGCTGGTTAAGTTAGAAAGATCCGGACACGAAAGAAATAACGTTTGTCATTTTTTAATTAGATTGTTTAAAATCTTGTCTTCTCAGGAGATTTTGAGTATCACCGTTAGTCCGCGATACTCAAGTTGAGGCTGAGAAATCTATGAATCATCACTTCCAGAATGAGATAAATTTACAGCAAAACTTAAAAATATGGATGTTAGAGCTTCCCACGCAAGTACAAGTCAGTTTGGTACATAATTATCACCACGTAATTTCCGCCTTAGCTTTTCTGCTTTTCTTCTCCCAATTCAAAGACCCAACATTGTGGTTGTGTTTGTACAACATCGGAAGGAAGACTTGTCACCATTCTTAGCACTTGAAGCAACAAATAACAGAAGTAAACGGAATTGATTTGCAAATGAAAAACATAGAATTGTGCGATTTAATTTGAATGTCAGTGTGAAATTAAAATCGTTTTTGTACACTTGACAAGTGCTCGGGAATTTTTGGAAGTGGTATATTCGCTCTTTTAGAGCATATATAATAAAAATCTCGATATAATCAATACTTTCATTCGCATGATATTTCGTGCTGATGCTAAGTCTTTCTACACTCTCTTTTATGCAAGTTCTTAACTTAGCTGTGAAAAATAACGTAAGGGTTGTTGCCTAATATCCGAAACTGCAAATCTAAGTAAGCAATGATTTCTTTTTGAGAGTTTTTAACGAAAACAATGTTATTTAGAACTTCTAATTAGTGGTTTAGATAGCCTAATTTCCCTTATTTAGCAGGCGTCACTGGCACCGTTTAGAGAATTGTTTTTCCTACTCATACAAACATACAAATTAAAATCTTTCGCCCCTGCTTTCTGCAAGATAAGATGGAAGATATTGCACCGCAAAGGAAATTCTTGTGAGTCAAAAATAAATCTTTTGAATTTTTGTTCCTGTAGACGGATCTTTGTGTTAAGTTGCCATAAACTTACGTAGTCCTGCCCTCAGGAGATAGAAATTGAAAAGATTCACACCACAGTGGTCTTGGTTTTTTCTTTCATGAAAAAGCATGTTCATTAACTCACTTTTAATAAACCAGATGGCTCCTGGATTAACAGGCAGCGAAATAAATACTCTTCGTGTTACAAACGCCATACTATAAAATTCTTTGGTGTAAAATTCTCTTGGTGTAAACTTCTTTGGCTTCTTAGCTGAAGCACTGATACGAATTTAAGTTTAATAATACAAATAACTTTGATAAATAAAGGACGCAGAGATAACATTTCAATAAAATACTTGGTTTACGTGTTTGAATTATAAACCAAGCACTGCCAACAAGACTAAACTAACCAAAACTAACGGTGATAAACTCCGCTGAGCTGATTAGCACTTATCATCACTCCAGTGAAAAGGGTGCGAATTGATAAAGCCTGATAACGTGCGAGAAGTTGGTGTAAAAAACACAAATTACCAGCTACAGAATTATCATAGCAAGCTTTGACGTTATTGAAAAGCCTGACAAAGGGCTGACTTTGAGATGAGGAATTCTAGTCAGCAAATGCAAACAAGCGATGCGTTTGTCTGCGGTATTGTCATTGTTCGTTGGAAATAGTTATTAAACAGCGATGACAATTATAAAACTACTGCCTGCGGCGGGGACACCTTAATGCTTCTACAACCAGCATAACACTAAAGATTTTAAAATCGCACTATTTCATAACACGATTTCGTCAGAAATCTTACATATGAAATAAAGTAACAGTTTTGATTCTTTAAAGAGACTTCAGGGGAGAGCTACTAGTCAAGTTTTGGTTTCTTGAAATGCGTGCATTGCCTTCACTAGTATGGCTCTTTACCCCTTTCAGACCGCATGCATGGGTTATTGTTGAACACTCTTTTCCTTTGTATAAATAAAATGCGTTTATATCAGCTACAAAGACACTGCATATTGTTAGACGTTTATTTAGGAATATAACTGTGCGGTGGGCAGGGGTAGTTAACGTATATACCTGTCAGAAAAACAACCGTTTTGCGGTTTTATTTAATTCTTTTGTTGTTGACATCATGAACGATATTCCGTGGAAGGATCTTGAAGCGGAAGAGGGCGGAAGATAACGGAGTCCAGTTCAAGCTAAGTTCTGTGAACAAAGCAAGGCCCTGTGGATAACATCCTGATGTGCAGATTAAGTTGACAGCCCAAGAGTTAATTTCTTATTTGCGCCTGGTTTTGCCGCCTCCCTGAGAGCAGCACAGAAGGGTTCCCTTTGACAAAAATTCAATCAAACAGACGGACACAATCGATAAAGGAACATCGCAGACACTCGGCAGGTAACATTTATTCGCCTCTCTACGAGTTGTTCTTTTCTCACAAGCAGAGATTTTGAGTTAAACATATAACTCACGCAAAAAGTTTTCACGCTTTCTTGCTTGATAAATTCACCTTAGGATTTGACTATTTCACTTTTCCTTCACTAAAGTATTTCTAGAGTTATTTTTTTGGATGAAGTTCTTGTTTAATTCTTGACGTTTCTCTAAGTGAGTAAGTTTTTCAGAGATCAGTGATTTTGCTCTCGAGGTATCAAAGTTTCCCTTTGCCATCTTACAATATTTGGTTTCCAATACCCATTTCTTGGACATTCCATTACGATACTTATATCGAAGCAGTGGTATCAAGGAAAACAAAAACTCTTTATTACATGGCCAGGCTTGCCCTGTTTCAGCTTATTAACTTGTGACCGTGGCCCATCATTATCCGATGCCTCGCTGTGCTGTTGTTCTGAGACAGAGAGAACCATGAAGGTTACAACGTGGACCTCGTGGGTTGAAACTTAATCCCTAAACAGTTGAACCTCCATAAACATATATGATATTACCTGGGTAAAGGGAACCGACGCTTTAATTTTATGTGCTATACTGGGATCCGTGCACTTGCATGGTTAGTCTACTTAATATTATTAGATAGTAGGCATTGTAACATTGCCCTCTTAAAACGATTGTAACCTCGTTAAATTTCACCAGCTCAGTTCTTTGCTCAGTTATCTTTCGTATATTTAAAGTTTCAAGCTCGTTCGTTTGATAAATATAATGAAAAATTCAACGAGAACTATAAACAAGCAGTCTCTGACGGCCAGTCTATGAAGAATATCGGCCTTTTTTGAATAAACGCTTCTTTTGCCGCCATTAATTTAAAATGACGGCCGCAATTAATGAAATTAGATACAGGGAGGAAATAATTCAAAAATTGTTACAAGCAAGATCCAAATTGAAAGCTTCTACTTTGGGGAAAATGAATTAGGACACATTGCATACTTTTCATTTCAGTACACTGATTAGCCTGTAGAACAGGCGTACTTTTGGCGTTTTTCAAGCGAACGGAGGAAAGCGCGAGTAAAGCGCGAGGGGGGAGTACGAAAAATGTGTATGCTCCTCTCTATCGCGTGACTCGCTTTTACCTCTCTTCGTTTGAGAAATGCAAAATATTACGGCTGTTCTGCAGGCTATGATTACATTACTTTTGATGTGCAAATGTCGTAAAACAATCGATCTTGTAACTGTGCGCCAACAAATTGACATGCATCGGCACTTGTGCGTCGGTCGATACGTATTGAATTTTTTTATGGCCTCCACTTATTGCTCAGTATCATGAACACTTTAATTTATAACTGATTGTTACTATCGCTTCCAGACATGGAAAGTCAAAGGAATGTTTCATGTATGACTCCGTGCTGCTTACTTGAGTTATATCACATTTCATATCAACGTTACTACAACTTTGTAAATTATTGAGTTAAATTATCACGTTGTCTAGTCAGTGACACTTTTATGAGGCAATTTTTATATTTTTAATTGATTGATTAATACCGAAATTATCTCAATAGAGTCCCAGTAAAGCTCTGAAATCAGATGGAAATTCTTGTGGGATGTAATGTACTGTTCGCATTCTGCAAACTAACTCTTAGATTTGTGGGGTTTCAAATCTCTCTGTCTGTCTATCACAGAAAATTTTGCTATATTAGGCAAGTTTTCGTTCAGAAATTTAACACATAGACTTTGAACAGTTCTTGGTGCATGTGACATCTCTTTCCCTCTTGTGCTCACATTTGCTTTAACTGACACTGTCCAGATTGTTTTCGTTGCTTTTTTCCAAATTAGAATTTTCAATGATAAGACCACCCCTCCGTTAAGTACGATAGAATTTGAAAAGCTTGCCATACAAAATTTGAGAGAAAATTTTCGCACGTGAAAGTGGCTTTCACGCAAAGAATCGACGTCGAAAATTTCCATGTAAAGGGCACGAATAATACGCCAGCAACATGCAGTCAGGCGTGTCCGCGCACTGAAATTAGTTGATACTAATGATACAAGTGTGTATTCATTACTGCGATTTCTTAGATTCTATTATAATGAGAGCTTTTCCACGTTCTCAATATTCTCTGTGATAACTGAAATGGAGAGGAGACAAAACTTCATGAATAAAAACAACAATTCTCGACTCAACTGATTTAAATTTTATTTTCAGGTAGGAAAGCAGCAAGCATATATTTTAGACTTAGGGAAACACTTCTTTGTGATCTCCTGTTTAGGGGCACATAGTTATAACAAATCACATGAAAGAATTATGCATTCCAACAGTGAAGATAATTTAAGTTCTGAGTAAAAGAATACAGATGTAGATCAACAAACAACCGCATTGAAGAAGTCAGATTTTCGGGTGGCGCCCTGAATTTCAAGACAAGTAAACTAATCTCATGATCTACCACATGTATAGGAATTCTAAATCGTATAATTATTCCAGAATCTGTTTAGAAATCCTGACCGCTGGAAAATCGGGTTGATATATAAATCTGACTGAACTTGGCAACTATGTTAGTTTAAGCGAGTAAAACCATTATCGGTAACCACGGTAGCGTGGAGAAACAATCTAAATTTACCGTTGTCACAAATTACACCTTCCTTTGAAAGACAATGAGAATGTATGATAACCAGTTGTCGCATGACTTGCCGATATGTGGGGGATATTCACCTGTTGTGCTCAAACAAAACTGTCCCAGAATTCTTTGTCTCGTTCTCACGCAAATAAGCTCCTCGCCCGCCTCTGTAATAAACAATGTCGATTTTAACACAGCAGGAATGAACAATCCTGTTCAAAATTATCAACAGGCATTTGCTTATCAAATCTTTCGATAAATTCATACAATGAATATATGAACTTTATATATTCATTCTATCTGATAAATTTAATCTTTGAAGTTTAAGGAGATTACGGTTGCTAGTTATAATTTTGTCATGATGCGCAGGGGTGGTAATAATGTTTAATAGTCAGCTCTGCAGGAGCTCCAGCCCTCTCCGGAACAACCCGCGACCAACGGAGCCTGTTTCCATTTCCGGATTAACTGGCTTGATTCCATGTGCACTTTTGTTGCCTTTTCGTTTCCACTCTTAACCATGCTGGATATGTACGATTTTGACGTCACTGCCCGAGTAATTTTTTACTTTGTTTTCTGTTTAACCGCAGTCAAAATTAACAGGGCAGAACTGAACCTAGATGAAACCATACTTATCACGTTATTCTCAGGCTGTTAGCTTGGCCTGGGATGTCGTAAATTGGAGGAAATAAAAAAAGCTAAACAAAATACAGGCAAAACGGTAAGGGTTATGGAAACCAATCGCATGCACGGATTACACAATCGCCATTTTAAAACTGGGCTAACTTTTCCAAGATGCTCCAACTCGTAACATTCTTCTCCTCGGCCAGTGGATTAATGGCAATTCCAGTGGAATGAAAAAGAGAGCAATGAAAATATTTCGGGTTCGAAACCCCAGGAGCCTCTTTTTTTTCAACAATTCTAATGAATCGCGTTTTCTGATAACCAAACTAATAGCCTCGTTGCGATTTAAGTTCAAGTTGAACGAAGTGACGTCATATAAGTTCATCAAGTACCCGTGGATTGAACTTCTCACTGAAGTCCCTTTACTATGTCTGTTTCCCGTTTTTTTTTTTTGAGTCGAGAACGCTCTTCTTTTTCACGTGTGGATTTAAACGGGTTTGAGTTGGCATAAAGAAACAATTCGCCAGAACAGCTTTATAAGATTAGTTCTGCAAAATGTGCGTGTTAAGTTCTGATGCAGTATATGTTTTTCAGTGGGAGTCCAAGCGATAATTAATTACTAAATGTATCATAAGAAGTAAGGAGAAAATGAATACTGCCGTTTAGGGCATAAAGGGTTAAAAAAACTGATAATTCCTGAAGTATGCAGGGCGCTTTTCTTTTACAATGAAAAGAGACCTTCCTGATATATAGTTTTGCTTCCTTGGGAACTTTAAAGTAGAACTCGACAAAATGATCAAGTAGGGATTGGTTCTAGATTTACAACACAGAACTATTTAATCAATGAACTGAGGTAGTACGCACTAGAAATACTAACCTCTTGGACACCCGATAGTGGATGGGAGAACCTGATTCAATTGGAGTACAGAGTAGAGTTAAGAAACTTTACATATTGCATTAATCGTGTGAAGTGGAAGAGCAAAGTGATTAAGCCACAGACTTAGTTTAAATACTACTTCTTACATTGTCACTTCAATCCCAGTTGAAGAGAAAAAGACTGAAAAAAAAAAAAAAACCAGAATTTGCCAATTTAAACAAAATCTTAAGTAACCTTTGTGATCTCCTTGCCAATCAATATGAACACTTTTTTTCAAATAATATTGTCTCGTGTTCTGCTCTGACTACTACGTAAACTTCCGTTCATTCAATACTTTTTTTCTGCTATCAATGTTCTTTCTCAACTTTTTACTCCATTTGTTTAATACTTTCAAAGCACTTTTATCAGGAACACGTTTAATCAGAATGGGGATGTTTCCTCCTTAAATACGATATTCTTATCTGCTCTTATTTACAACCATTTAGCTGCTTTCTTTCAGAGTAAATAAAGCTTCTCAGTGCTTCACTGTGCGACCGCAGTAAGTTCAAGCTGTCCTCCAGTCATTGACCGTCGATTGTAGTTTGTTCCCATGCGGCACTCTGTGATTAACTTCTGGGCCTGAAACCAGTAAAGGAAAGAAGAGACGAGTGTTAAGGTGAAGACGGAGGCCATCTTGAAAATCCATCTACTGACCTGTGGTAACAGGAAACGCTTAAGTTGTATTCTTTTTTCGAAAGGAGTGCGTCTCCTCCGCAGTCAGCCTCAGACTACAAAACAGCCATAGCTATTCTGGCATATTTCTCCATCGGTTTCTTAATAATCATTACTAACCCCTGTTGGTCGGCTTGTGTGAGTTATACAATTTGTTTGTATCCTGAAAGGAACAATTTTCAAATGTGTCCTAGGAGTAATCGGGGATTGTATTGTTGTGCTCTATCCAAACTTATGATTGGTCCACAAGACTAGCACCACCTTCTCGACCAAACAGATGGAAAACTAAAACCAATCGAAAATTCGTGTTAAAACTTCTGCTCCCCGGCGCTTCAGGAAGTTCGTTTGTTTTTCTTTGAGTTCTCGATGACCCCTTTTGACCTGACCGGCGTTTGTGACTGCCTCGGTTTTAGTTTTATGACACTCTTTCGAAAAGGGCTCTATAGAATACTACCTGAGAAATCCTAAATAAGCGGGGCACTTCTTTCTGGAACATTCTGCCTACTAGGAGCCCTCCTCTCTCCAGCACTCCCACCCCCCACCAGCTGCTTCCCTTTACTAACTAAATCTTACCGCTGCCTAACTTCATCCTCCCTCACCCCAGTCTCCATTAAGCTGTCCCCGTTCATTCCACTGGAATCGTAATGATCATCTCCAGAGTCAGTGTCGCCGTTCAGTGCTACAATTGGTCCGTCTTCTGGAGGCTCCAGCTTCACTTGTACTTGGGACTGAGACAATTGGCTGCTATAGAAGTGCGAGAAGAAAATTCGACATGAACTCATCGTACATTTCGTATGCCATAAGTGCGACTTATGTAAAAATTCTGGTTTCATCAGCATGGAGAAATGTTTACAAAGTAATCGCTCTCAATCTCCAGCTAGACTATCGGAACATGTCTGTGACCGTTACCCATTCAATGAAGTTAGCTTTTTAATATCATTTGAAATTTCTCATTTATAATCCTGGGTGTGAGTTACATGTCGCAAGGTACCAAGAACTGACACGAGCGGTAGATTTAAGCGGGGGAGGTTAAATTTCGCCAGTTCAGCACTTTTTCCCGGAAATCTGTACCTTACTTATTAGAAGACAACACAGCAAGCTCTAACAGAAATACCACCATATCCTGGTTCTTACTTGATATCTTTGGAGCAAAACTCTACGAGTTTTGTGATGCCACCAACCACTCCCTCTACTTCTTCTCCATCTCTGATATCCGCGCGTTTCTGAGGAGGCATTTCATCACCGGTGTCTGAATCCGAGCCTC